TAAATGTTTTGTATCTATTCCAAGCAAGCGTTTCGCGCTCGTATTCGACTTTTCCGCTTCGCTCGGGGACAACCTTAATTGAAATACCTGTATACCCAAAAGCGCCCCTTTTGGCCGATGCCCCCTTCACTTTCGAAATGGTTCCGCGGCTTCTGATAGGATGAAATTGCATCATAAAATGAGACACAACTTATATAATTGTAATTTGTCTGCCAAAATACGAGTTACTTTATGGAAAGATGTACAGGGATATTTACACGAGCAGATTTTGCTAGTTTTTCTTCCTTCTCTACTTCTTCGGACCAAAATTTCTCAATGTCTATATGGCATTCCTCCATTTGTGCCATAGATTCCTCATCTGACATCTGGTAAACCTATGGTGCGCAAATTTTGGAACGAAAGAATGGGAGGTGAATAGTTTAGATATCAAATAATGTTATACCTCAAATTCAAAGTTTCCAATCAGAAAGCTAAGTTTGTGCCACGTGAGCATGAAATGTATCATCGAAACACGCCTTACGTCATCGTATTTGATGCAGCGGGTGATTTCAGTCATATCACCCTGGTGATATTATTCACATATAGTATACTAAGAAGTGATGAATTATTACGGGGTTTTTTTAATTTCAGAAAATGTTTTTTGAAAAATTTTCTTGTGAAGAGTGGCAAAATAATTGCGTTCATAAAAAATCGTATTATTTAACGAATGTATGCATGGGGTAAGTTTTATATTGTGAACTTGGAGGCTGTTAATTTTCTGTGTATAATATCTTTTGCAGACCCTCTGCATGGGGAATTCGTCGAAATATTACCCTTAGTGATGATGTTTTTCTTGGGGAAATATCATCCGAGTGATGATATTTCCCTTGGGGCAAATCTCCTCGGGAAATACCATCACTTCGTGTAATATTTCGCCGTATCCCCTTTGCTCCAGGTGTATAAATGATAAATTTCACTAAGTGAATGTAATATTTACCGCTTTATTTTTTTTTATGGCCTTCACTTCCTTGTCTTTGGTTTCTTTTTTACTCTAAAAATTATGTCGAATGATGTCATTAAAATGGCACTGTCATTGAAAATTTTGTGGTCTCGAACGAACGAACTCCTAAACAGTGAGGTAACTTTTTGTAAAAAATTGGCTCCCATGGTTTGTTCTTGAGGTATTTTGCTAGTTTTTCTTCCTTTTCTACTTTAATCTTTAATCTTTAATAAAATTATTTAAACACGGTAGCCTGTTCAGCAGATAATATTTACAGCGCTGGTTTTCAAAGGGCCGTGTGTTTACAACAATAATATAAAAAGGACAAAAAGAATATAACTATTTACAATGAACTGATACGGATGAATTAAGTAATTGCCGTTTAAACGACAAAGTTGAAAGATTGTTATAATTTTCAATAGTTTCACTTGGAAGACTAGTTCGTTCCAGGACTTAGCAGCTCTATACGTGAAACTTCGTTTGAGAAAATTTGTCTTAGGTTTGGGTAGGTTCAATTTAATTTGATTGCTTCTTAGATTGTAATTGTCATTTTGACTTACTGAAAACAATTTTTCAAGGTATCGAGGTAATCGACCAGTTAGTACTTTAAATGTCATTATTAACTGTCGTTGTTTTAGAAGTTCTTCTATTGGAAGCCAATTAAGACTATCTAGCGTTTGCATGGAACGAACCTCGTATGTGTCCCCTGTTATTACACGCGCTGCTCTCTTCTGCAGTATAAACAATTTATCAATTATCGAACAACATCCATCATTCCAGATTGTTGAACAATAATTGAAATGAGGCCACACTAAGGCATTGTAGATTTTTATCAGACTATCTCTATTGACGAACAATTTTGCTCTTTTCAGCAGGGCGATATTATTTGAAATTGTTTTACATTGCATTTCATTATGTTTATTCCATTTTAGCTGGTCGTCAAGGATCATGCCTAGTGACTTTTTTTGGTAAACTCGCTTAATGTTGTTTCCCCCTAATGTTAGTACTTGGCTATTTTCAATTGAAGCTAAGCGACGTCTTGATCCTATTATCCACTTCTTCAGACCAGTATTGGACAATCTTTACATGAAGTTCCTCTACATGGAGGAACTTCATGTAGACATTGAACAATGCTGGAAATACTAGGAAAGTCACCTATCTTAACGCACTGTTCTCGGTCAGTTAAGAATGATTTAATCCAGCGTATAATAACGGGATGGACGCCAAGCCTTTCAAAGTCAGTAATAATGACATTGTGATCAACTAAATCAAATCCCATCTTAAAATCTGCGAAGAAAACTCGAGCTGAACATTGACCTTTGTCAAGTCCAGCATGGATCTGATGCATAAGATAAACCAACGCTGGAGTTGTTGACTTCTTGGGCAAAGAGAACTGTTTCGGATCCAGCTTATCTAAAACTTCAAGCAATAGCGATTCCAAAGTAATTTTTTGTATAATGAACGTTTTTAGCGGTGCAATACAGCATGCAAAATTTGAACATAGGTCACCCGACAAAATAAAGAGAGATAGCGCATTGTTTTTCTAAAATGGAAAATTCTAATGACGTCAGCAATTGACATAAAACGCTATAGAACACGCGCAATGGCCTGATATGGCGCGAGCAATTGCTCACGTCAGGTCATTCTGGAAGTTCTTTCATTTTGTTAATCAGTTTCCGCGACCCGCGCGTAAAAATGGTCACCCGGTTTTGAGTTCGCGATTCTTGAGCAGGGTTTTTGTGATAACGAACCACCTTAAGAGCATTTAGCTTCGTTTAAGAAAATAAAATTTTAATGACAGTGCCACTTTAATTAAGTCAACGTTGTGGAGCGTTTGTCAACAATTGAAAGAAACGATAGACTATTGGATTCGCTTTATGGTATGGAGGTAGTCTGTTATATTGCACTTCGTACTTTTGAGTCGCGTTAAATTTAATCATAAAATCAGACTGCAAAATTTGTATAATTTCACGAAATACAAGTCACTTTATGGAAGGATGTTTTAGGATACGTCAGACTTGTGCTTCTGATAACTTGACACTTTGATAGTGGTGGGCACGTTGTTGAAAACCAATAGGTATGGATTCAAATCCGGCCTTTCGATAGAAGGAAGGACCATAGTTACTATTGTCCTTCCTAATTCTATAAAAAGACCGGGTTCGAAGATTGCTGACGTGGACAACGGCAACCATGAGTCCACCAAGGTGCCAGTTATTAATTTTGGCAGTGGTACTATTGTCCTTCCTTCCATCAAAGACCAGGTTTGAAGATTGCTGACATGGACAATGGCAACCATGCATGAATCCATGCATAATATTAATGTAATGTGCATGTATAATATTAATGTTTATGAAGTAAATATGTTATACAGGGTGCCCCAAAGGGGACCAAGGCTGTTGAGATGGCGTGTTGCTTGGGAATTTGAATGCCTCAGCACTCTGCTGAACCCACAAGTGCATAAAAGCTTGACAAAAGTAAATTTTACGAATAAAGAAACTGTTTAAGAAGTTGCTTTAAATTCCAAAGAGCAGATAATCGTGAGCTTACAAAGATATTTTAATTTCTTCAGTACTCATATTATATGCATCATGTCGATCATATTTACGTATCTTTGCGTTCAGTTGGTGCTGAGGCGTTCGGATTCTGGCAGTGCGTTGTTTCAGTGGTTTTGGTTTTTTTGGGACACCCTCTATACAGTATACTGCGAATTAAAAGGTTTATGTTAGGAAGAGGAGGGGCACCATGCAATGGACTTTACGTCCAGTTTGTGCCTTGTCCGTTTGAGTACAGCTCTTTAATTGTATGTTAGATGAATATTTGTTGAATTAATTTGTACTCAATAAAGTTTAACAAACAAAAAAACAAAAACAAAAACAAACAAAGTCCACCAAGGTACCTGTTATTAATCTTGGACTAAATATGGACTAATAATGAACTACATTCCAAAATGATCATTGGGTCTTACAGTTAAACTTGCTCTAAGACCGATGATCATTTTGGAATTTAGTTCATCTTTGAACGTACTTTGTGTCTCATGTTTGGCTGTTGTTCTACAAACAAGGCTTGTGTATTCAATGTGGAAACAGTTTTAAACGATTCGTTTACCGAGAATAGAAACGGATTGCCTCAGTTTTAGTCGGATTGCAGACAAGTTTGCAAATGCAACGTTCAAGGAGTTAGCAATGGCAGAGTGTCGACTACAAGGTTTGACAGCAATGTAAAGGTCGAAGCAGTGGCGCCATGGGTCCCATGTTTTGGGGGCCAAGGACAGTACTTTTCCTACAAACCGAAAATTTTTTGTCCAAAACCAAAAATTTTTCCGCACGACATCATTTTAAATCTTCTCTCTCCCCC